TTTTTTTTTCTCTTTTTTCATTTCGAAATCATACCTTTGCTCTGTAAATTTTTTTAGTTTTGCAAAACTTTTTCACGCTGTGGTTCATACTGTTTGCTTACGCTCTACAGATATCGCCATGTGGTTAGCATACAGTGGCGGCTAACTTACGACTTAGCCTGCAGCTATGCTTTGGCGCTTTCATGCTTTCGCAAGAGCTATGTGAAGAATATGCAAATGCAAATCATAGCCGATTAGAGTGCAATTAAAGTGTCAGCTGTCGAAGCGGCTTGCGGAGCTTAGCGCTAAAAGTTATGAGCTTTGAAATAGTGGAAAAAGTAAGTGAATAGTGTGTGTGAAAATTGATGTGCTTTTGAAATCATCGCAGCTTTTAGCATGAATATTTAAAAGCAATTATTGAAATAATATTAAAATAAACGTATTTAATTTGTCAAGTTATTATTTTTGTTTCTAATTGAAATATATATGAGTTATTGAGGGAGTAACTAAGAGCTGCAACTCCAAGTACATATTCCGTAATATTGAGAATGTAATGTTGTAGAAAATTTTCCAATTTCAAAACGCTTGCTGTAGACTTTTTACTGTATGAGTGTTACGCTTTAGTAAAGGGTAGGAAGATTCTTAAACATTAACGATTTTGCAGTCGTACGAGTATTAGTAGGTAAGGATAAATTAATTCGACTCGAAGAAGCAATGCTATGAAATGTAGACCGGATCAATACATAATACAAGTATAATGTTTCCAATATCGCAGCCAGATTAGACCCAACATATGCTATATGTAGGTATATTAATATATTTTTATTATAAACATTTGTTTCAATGAAATAAACCAGACTTCATTGACGCCTCATGTAAATTTTGTATAAGAATAAAAACTCTGCGATAGAGTCATTTGTGAAAAAATATTAAAATTTCACCATGCGTCCACATAAAAACAATGGATGTAGTAAAAACGTATTTATTATATTTTAAATAGATGACTTTAGTAATCTGAAAAATACAAATTACTAAAAATTTACGAAAAATATGGCACAAATCACACAAAGTATTTTTCGACCAATATTACTGTCTGTTTATATTAAGAATTATTTTTCACTTTTTCGTTTGGAGTAATTTAAAAAATGGAATTAATTTGTTTTTTAAACTATATATATTTATTTTCCCTTTTTTGTTTAAAGTGTTTTAAAAGAGTGTTTTTCAGTATTTTATGCCACACGTTGTATTTTCACTAACTTTAAAGATGTGTTTCAGTAAATTTATTATTCAAATGACAACATTTAATATTCAGACCACGACCACAGTAGTGTGTGATAGGAATGGGTGGGTCACATATTAAATTTGGTTTAAATTGGTCGGATAACTCCCGAGATATAGTATTTCACCTAAAGGTTGTTGGCGCCATGACCATTAGTCAGTTTTTACAGCTCCTCTTATAAAGTTCTTTCCTGCCATCTTGTTTGAGAAATTTAATGCTTGTGGCGCATTGATTCAGTGCACTTTTAGTAATTTTCAACTTAACCATAAATAGTGGGCGTGGTTATTATCTGATTTTTCACAGCGTTTGGAAAAGTGCTAGAAAGACTTCCTCCCAGCAAATTTAGTGGAGTTAACTACAGCCGTTTGGAAGATATGTACATTAAACAATTTAGAGGGCCGGGCTACGTCCACTTTTAAACAACTTTCGGCCAATTGCTCAGAAGCGGCTACCTCTGGCTAATAAGAGGAACTGTGTTACATCAGAACAACGCTTATCCTCACACGTTGATAGGGGCCCCTCAGAAGCTCCGTGGCTTAGTCGGAAGGTTTTAATGTATCCACCTTATAGCCCAGACCTCGTACCAAGTGATTAGTATCTTGTAACACGGCTTTAACCGAAAATATACTCTTCTTGTAAATAATGCTCTCATGGTTATTTCCGGTAATGACGTCAGTCTAGCAATATTATGAAGGAACGGAGATTTTTTGAGAAAATTACAGAAATCGTTGAAACATTTTTTTTTACATTAAAAACATGATTGTTGGCTTTCATCTAAAAATCGATTATCGTTTGCCAAAACATTCCCTTTTTATATTAATAAACCTAACTGTTAGATTAAGACTCAAGGGTTTTACTTGATTTTGTGGCTTGTCAAGTGTCGGGATTAGGAGATGTAATTTTTCATACACTTTCTATATTTACTACAAACAATACTTTTGCGTTAAAAGCATAAAGTTTGAGTGAATGAACCTTAATATAGCGTTAAACTCATACGTTTCTATAAGAACATTAAAGTTCTTCGACCAACTCATGAACCGTGGTTGTAAGTAAACTGTAAACACATTGATTATGTGCAATGCTCACCAAAGAGGTTAACTCACTTCCGTCTCCGATCTCTCCCTTATCAAAATAACCAACCAACAAGACGACAATGCCGCTGAAGCAATCGAACTGCTTACGAGTTCAAAAAGAAGTACAGAAATACACAAACGCATGAAACTGCAAGCGACACTTGGTAGCCGGGTTCACCGAAATGCCGGTGGGTGTAAAAAATTCCACTTGACAATGCGAAGTGCAAAGAGACAATGGAAACTTTGTTGTGCAACTACCGGCGACAACGAACCATTGAGCCACCAAAACGCTTAATACACGCTTCGTATAGCGTTCAGACTTCGTTCGCGTATGTGAAAAGGCTGCGAGGCAAGAATGCAATGTGTGAGCGAATAGAAGAAATGTAGCAAAAAAGCGAAAAAAAAAAATAAAACAAAGGAACTTCTTGCGGAAAAGCAGCAAAAAGAAAAAAAAGCAAAAACGAGTTAAGGAAGTTAACTTAAAAGGTATACAATGCAAAAAAGTTGGAGAACTTCGAAGTATACGAAGAAAATAAACATTGCAACAAAAACCGGAACTCGCTCCAAGAAGTGCTTGGATACAACTGTAAAAAGAGTTCAAGAAAACACCTTCTTAATGCCACAAAAATGCGAAGGCGAGCGCAAAGGGCACCCGAGCTACGGCGAGACTGTAGCAACGCAATGGAAGTGGAAAATTCAATGAGCAGAAAGAAATGACATTTGCGCAAAGGGCGAAAAAGACACAGATGGTGGGTGAAAGTGCAGCGAAAATACAAACAAACATGGACACTTAATCACACGAGCTTCCTGTGTTGAACGTCTTCCGCCTGCTGCAGTGTACGAAGTGTTAGCGAATGCAGTTGGAGCTGAAGTTCTAGGTGACGCAATTGAAAAGTAGCGAGAGAATAAAAACTTACAACACATGTTTAAATGGGATTGCACTTCGGCAAATTATTGCATTGTATTGGCGCAAATAGACTATTGCAAAAGTTACGCTTTTTCGGGTTTTACGCGACTCCGCAGCCATAGAAGGTGCGTGCTCAGACGTGTCCGCCAACGCGAGCAATATTCAATCCCCCTTCGCTGAAAATTTCATACTAGGAAATTGTACAGTCGCAGAAGTGAGTAGACCGAGCGAAGGAATATAAAGAGCGGTAATCTCCAAATGCTTGTGTGTATAGATTTTTCGCCATTTTTTATTTCATTTTACTTCTTGTACAATTCTTGGATTATAAAACTCCAGACACCTGAAATAGCACGTACACACGCGGAAATTTAACAAAAACTTTCATTAAGGTGTATCATTTTAAAGATAGAAATTTCATTTTAAACACAAGAAGAAAATGCGTTCACTAATTTTCTTGTCCTACAGGACAAGACCGCCAAGTACTACAGCGATGGAGCGGAACAGCCATTAGTTTCATGAATTTACTATAATCCAGACTCTATACGGTAGGAAGGAACAGATGAGGAAAGAGGTCAGTTTTGTTGCTATTGTACCCATAGGTTTTCTGCAAAAGGCTTTGACGAACACTTCAGTGGTGACACTATTATTTTTTTAACAGACATAACCCCGGGTTTCTGAAGAAGCATTCTAATAAAAATTTTATTTTTTTTCTAACATGGAGAGCTCCTTTTTAATCTGCCAAACTGTTTAGATCTGTGTTTTCGCAGCTCTCTGGAACTAATTCCGCACTCGATTATTTGAAAGAAACGGCTTATTAGTCTATTTTAACTTGTGTTTAATTTCATGTATCATTTGCTGGTTGCGTTTTATTTTAAGTCTTTAATTATGAAGCGCTCTATATTTTCTTGGAATGCAAAATTGGAGGCTAGATTCCACTTATGTTCCTAGGGGAATTTTCAAGTATTTTCAGATTAATTATGAAACCAGCTCTGGGAAGAACAACGAATTGCTTTCAATTAATGCCAACTTTCAAATTTGTTTATGATTTGACAAAGCTCGGTTGAAAATCGGGGTATCCCTAATGCATATACTCATACTTATGAACAAACTACATATATACTTGAACACGATATACATTTGGTGTGACTGCAATGCGATATAAGGTAAAGAAATCCGGAAAAATAACCAAAAACTTTGATTTACTGCAGCTACCAAGCGTGTACAAACAAAACAGTAGTTTTGAAAAGTCTTTAATTTTGATTTGATAAAAAAAATTCTAAAAGTAAACAGCACGGAATGTCGCAAATTCTCTATGCCTTACATTTCCACTTTCATACCCAATAAACTCACACGCATTTGAGGCGCGCAATCTTTAAAATAACAAAACTCCATTTGCGATTGTTTCTCATAAAACCACTGAAAGCTGCAATGTATTTGACGTCTTGCTAGCGTGTGCTACAACAACACAAGTTAACACAGCAATTGCTGCAAACGTCACTCATATTTGTATGTGTGTAGGCATGCAATTAAAGAATACTCCACATGAGTGGCATTACAATTCCGGTATGGAATAATAAAAGGAAATATGTTGAGGTGTTTTTGAAGTACTGCAACAATAAGCGGTACTTGTGGGAACCCCTCTTCGAGTTCATGAAATAAAGCAGAAAAAGAGTGAAAAACGGGAAAAATAAATTGTTGTGAAGTGAGGAAGTTTTCTTTGAGTTTTTAACGGAGAGTTGATTTCTTTTCAAAACGTTAGTATACTATATATACATATGAAATGGCGTCAGCTCTAATTTTCTTACGATATCCTTAGGGGTGATATTGAAGCACTGCATACTGAACCATATTAATGATGTCACCTAAAATCCATATTAACAATTCACCTAAAAAGGTGGTTTATTTGTGGCGATGTAGAAGAAGTTTCTTGATTTTCGCGCGAAGGGAAAAAGATAATTTAAAATTTTATTCCACAAAAATCTATTTATGAAATCTTAAAAACTTTTAAGCAATTATGCAATTGTAAAGAAAAACTGCTTTGAAATCTCTTTTTCGAGCTAAACGTGATCCCGACGGCGCTAAAGAAGGTCCTCTACTTCTGCAGTGATTGGGTCTTATCCATTGAAACCTTAAAAAAGTGGATCATTTGTCTCTAAGTGATCGCTCATGCAAATTCTAAAAATGCAAGTTTAAGGAAAACGCGTTTAAAGATAAACTGATAGAGCTGATTGAACTGAGCGGTTATATTTAGAAAACTGTAACTCAAAAATTATTTGAGTTGTCTATTTGAAAGTTTTGGCATGCCATATTTAAAGGTATAACCTATCGAAATATATATAATAATAAGATTTTTTAAATTTTTTGAAATTTTTTTCACGCTAGGTGTGCAGTTTAACAGTCGTTAGTGCTACTTTCTATACAAACTATATCCAGAAATCACCAATAAAATTTATTTTTTCCAATGGCTGCACAAAAGAAAAATGCACCGAACGAACAAAGGAGTAATTGAGTGAACAACCTAAAGACAACAAATAAAAAGAACAAAAGGAAGCTCTGCTGAAATTGACAAACAAATTCTGAAAGCAAAAACAACACAACACAGAAAATCGCAGCAAAGTGTAGTAAATGCAGTGTTTGTAAAAACGAAAATAAAAAGAGAAAAAGTGGAAAATGTGGTTAGAACTGTGGTGAGACCACACAGCTAACTATGTGAACTGAGTGCAACGGAAACGTCACAATAAATAGCAAGAGAAAACACTACAAAAACAACAACAACTAGGTATATACAAACGGTGAGCACAATAGCAATTTTTTTTAAAGACAAAAGAAAATTGTCATAATATTAGGGAGAACATAATAAACTCGACAGAAAGATTTTTTATAATTTTAAAAGTGGTAAAATCTTTGAAAATTTAGGAAAGAGTTAAGTTACCGAGATGATTGGAAGGAGAAGTTACATGTGATAAAAACTAGAAACCTTACATTTAAGACTGAATATACTTAGTATGGTTCCTGTATGGGCTCTCTCCGGTATAATAAAAAATATCGGTATGATTTTTGGATAGTTTAGAAAATCTTAAAATAGACCGGCAGAGTAAAACTTATGCATTGGGGGAACGGTATTATTATTAAATAGTGAATCAAAGTTTAGCGGGAAGTTTTGAGTAGATCGAAGCAAAATCTCTTTAGTATCAAATACTACTGGATTTCCGAACATTTTATGGTGTTTCAGACATAAATAATAATTTCGGACATATTTTTCTTTAAGAATGGATACTGAAACGTTCTTATAAATTCTGCAATTTGAAAGATTGGAGATGCATCTTCGTCAGTTCAGAAAAAGTTGTAGGTTAGAGCGAAAATTTTAATAGACTCAAGTCTCGAATTTTCTACTAAAATTCGTTCCCAAATACATCAAAGCCCAAAATAATATATTCCCCAACCACGGCGATAATGCAGCAAATTTTCCGTGGCAATTGAATAATAAACAGAAAAAATGTCAGAACACTTCTTTGAGATTTTTTGTTGTTTTTGTCAACTCTTCAGCTATTATTGTGTGTCTTGGCTGTTTTTCGCGCCACTTTCTTTTCTATTTCTGTCGTGAAATGCACTTAAATCAAAGCAATGCACAACTGCCACCGGGAAGAACTGTCATGCTGAGGCAGCAACACTAAAGGGGCAAAAGCGCCACCAACAGCGAAATAAAATAAATTTTAAAAGAAATAACGAAAACAGATTTCTTGTCGTGCGCCAGACACACACACACACACATTTATACAAAAGCATACAAAATAACATCGACAATGCATTGTAGCTTCGCACTTTCCAGGTGTAAACGCGCAAAATGTGTATATGTCACGTGCCACATTCCATCCTTACTACTTGAGGTAGTCAACGCTTAACTCAACGCGACTATTCTTTATTTTCGTTTCCATTGCCATAGTTAAGACGCGCTATTTTCTACAACCGAGCACGCAGACGGCACTAACTCACTTTCTTAGCAGCTCTCAGGTCTTTATTTTCTTTCTTTGCTTAGCTTTCGTTAAAAATTGTTTCGCTTGGATTATTCGTCGTCGCTTTGGTGATTATTTCTTTAGTTTCTACATGTCAGTCGTTGTTGCTGCACTTTATTTTATTTTACTCTTTTTTTGTATTTGCAACTTTGTATTATTCGCTGCTTTTAGATGCACATTCGTTAGCGGAAAGCCAAGTCTAGCAACTGACAAGCTTCACTTGAGCACAAAAAGTGCACGCAGTCACACACACACAGACATATTCAACAATAAAAACATCACTCGTTGTTATATATTTCCTTTTACCGCTGCGAAAATTTATTTAGTTTTTTTCGGGGTTCAGAAAGGTGCAAAGCATTGTGCTTGAAGAAAAAGGAAAAATTTCCGACAGCTGGGTAAAAGTGGCGATATGCTGCTGACAAGTGCACCCCTTGTAACGGAGAATAAATGTTATTTACTTTTGGTAAATAGGATAGAGTATCGTAGCAAAAGCTTAGTTTTTGAAATATTTGAGATCAGTTAGGTTAAGTTTAATATTTGAAAAATTAAAACAAAAATATTTTTCATAATTTTATCTTTCTTTGAAGGTATAAAGAAGAAGTCTAGTAAAAATTAATCCATTATTTAAATTGAAGGCTTTATTCACTATAATATGAATATGCGCCGATTTGTGGCCATTTGGAAGGTAATTTCCTGATACCACTCTCATAGCAACCCTCGTCCACACTGACACAATACGGGGACAGTCGATTTTCACAAGCTTCTCTTGAGTTGACTTTTTCACCAGAAAAATTATTCACCCTGGAGAGGAACAATTTGTAATCAGTTACTGCTAGGTGCGGACTTTGAGGTGAATTCATAAGTAACTCCCAGCCAAGCTCTCAGAGCTTCTGACGAATCAATATCGGTGCATGTGGACCTGATGGAACATAATTCCTCGCCTTGGCTCCAGGGCAGCAACTCATAGTGGATTGTTCAAACACATAGCAAAACCTTCCTGAACATCAATTCTGGCTTGTGCACCGCTTGTGTCTAATCACCGAGATTCGACTGCCAGAGTTTTCGCTTGACATTGTCGTCGATTCGCAAAGGGTTCAATGATGTATTTTTTCTTTGCTGGTGTGCTTCTTTGATGTGTGGTCAAACAATACTGTGGAAAGCACTCACAAAGCTATCCGAACGGTTTTTTTAGTACGAAATCTTATCTTTTAAACGACATACATAACGTTATCCGATAGCGTGAATTTACTAGCCCTTATAATCTTATTATATCTATTGTGTTAGTAGGAAGTGAAGTATTATGGGAGTATAAATCCAGATTGAACTAGGTTCTAAAAACTTTAAGTTTAATGTATAGGTTTATTTTTTAAAATACAGTCCCCAATATATCTCATTCGCTTTAAATATCTGCGCTTTTCATATTGTTAAGTCAGCCTAGATGTAGGCAACATTGTATTGTATTGACTTGAAAATGAGGATAAAATAATGAATATTCAAATTTCTTTATTATTTGCTTTTGTCTAAATTAAAAGAAAAACTGCAAAGTGCATTAGAAATACCCGCTTAGTACTATTTTATATTGGGATCGCGGAATTTACATTTATCCAAAGCCCAACAACAAATTTTTTTGTTGCATACTTTTTTAATCTTTTTAGTTTTTCCTTTTAATAAGTTTTTTTTAGTTTATGGTTATTTCCCAACTTCTTATTTTGAGTCTTAAAGCAATACGAGAAAATGAGACCGTGAAAACAATTGCTGCCAATGGGAGATATAAAAAGGTACATTTCCGCCTTAATCGTATTCCTCATGCTCACAAAGCCATCGCTCTTCTACATACCATATACAAAACCATATACTTGTACAACCACTCACATACATACATACTTCTGACATATAAATATTAAATTAGCGTATACGAATATATTTGCGTTGGGAGTCGCTTTTCGGTTTTCTTTATCCACTTCATAAAAAAATTGCAAAACCAACAAAAAAAAAATGTCAGAAGTTACCACTCGCTCTGGATGGCTTAATTTTTCCTTTTTCGCTTGCCACTCACTTTCTTTATTATTCTGTCGTATTGTTTTCAGGCGGCGCGTCGTTGAGTGATCGGGTCACTGCAAAATTTTCTGCAGCTTTGAATATTTAACACAGCTATAAATATTTAAAAAGCCTGAAAGAAAAGACAGACGGACGAATGGTCAAAGGTATGGTGAATGCTGCTGGTGATAAGACCTGTGGAGATATTTACGGAAGTACAGTTATAACATACTTGTATATATGCAAATATATACGAATTGTTATTTATATTTGTGTAAGTATGCAAACGTAAATGCTTTTTGTCATGCACACGACTATAACAGAGCGGTTGTCACTGTGACTGTATGCGCTTGTGTTGGTGCAGATATATGGAGGAAATGAAGGAGCACACGTAGAGAAGATATCATCAACATACAGCTGTGTCTACCATATGTGAGAGTATATGGGAGCACAGGAGTATGCGCGTTTCACTAGCCAAAGCGGAAAGCAGTTCATGTTTTCTTCGCAAGTGCGGGTGGCTGCCAGTTGGTAGCTTTTTGACCTTAATAAAAGATAGCCGCTTGCTGCAGGTGAAACCAATGTGCCTCTTGCTTTCTTCCATATTTTTAAATTTTATGTTTCTCACCTTTATTTTTATTATTTTTTTCCTTGGAATTCTGAAGTTGCATACGAATTGAGGGCAACAAAAGCAGCAGCACTCAAGTTTTTAGCCATAGCTATGCTAAAGACAAGAATTGTGCTCACACGATGGCGTACATATGTTTCATATAGGTATATCTGATTTCTGTGCATATGCTATGTGTTTTGGTAGGTTTGTCTACAGGCGTGCTTGTCAAGCCACATTCGTCCACCTACTTTTCGCCTGCTCTCTGGCACGTCCATATCGTTTCCTTTGCATACATATATCTATACGTTTTTTTGTAGCCACACAGCAATCAGCAAGAGTCATGTACCAATACAACAATATTCCTTAGTGTCACTTCATATATGTGCATGTGATGCCTTTTGACCTGCTTTTGTCCTGCAGTCAAAGCTAAAGTGTCTGTCACATGTTATGCAGAAATAAAAATAATGAAATAAAAGGGAAATAAGCATAGGTAAACGGAGGTTTGATAAACCGAGTGGAAAAATTCATTTATGCATAAATAACGTTCAAAAAAATTCAAGAGTAGGAAGAAAAAATTGAATCGGGCCTGTATTGGTTTATTTGTGTTTCAAAAAAGCGTTTTAGCACATGACTTTCGCTTCCTATATCATTAGTGCAGTCGGTATATACATATAAAAAATAATATGTTACGCTGCCTTTTTTTCTTTGCCTAATAATTAACTGTCTTCGTCAAGAGCACTGAGGATACTGATGGCTTAAAAGTGGTCGCCTACTGGCACCGGTTAGACCATCATATGATGTAACAACCCACATAACGATTAGGTTGAAAACTATTAAAAGTGCAATAACTCACTAAATAAGTACGTCAGAAGCATTAAATTTCACAGTCAAGATAGTGCTTAAGGGGGTCAGCCCATGTGATGGGCTTAAAAAATCGATTTATTTTTTATTTCACAAATTGCATTGCTAACGTGTCTAGAATACAATAGTAAAGTGATTCTTAAAAATTCGAAGTCGTTGTGAAGATACAGCAGTTAAAAGAAGGAGCTGTTCAGAGCGGTTCCAAGCGGACTTGAAGCTTTAAATGCGCTTTTTCCACAGCTGTGTGTTTATCAAATTTTTTTCCATCGAATCTCAAAAACGGCTTAACCGAATGACTTGAAATTTGTAGGGTACACTCAGCACATGTAAACATATGGATTGAACTATTTATTATCAAGCAAAAATTTTCAACATTTTTTTATAGCAAAAAACAAATAAAAAAAAGCAAAATTCGCAACCTTTTTTCAAATATCTCCAAAAACTGATATATTCATTTGATAATAGTTCATTCCGTGCATTTAGGCTTACAGATTAAAACGCTCTATCTATTTGCTGGTCGCAAAAAAGAAAATCATAAAAAATTGCTAAAAAACGGACCATCACGTGGGATGACCCCCTAAAGGATTTCTAGGCATCGTTATAAACATTGGATAATGGGAGCGGCAGTTGTAATGGAATCCTACATCTAAGGAACTAGCCGGCAAATTTCCACTCAATTTGGTGCGAAAAGTTATGCTGATATTCTTATATCACAGTGCAAAAATGGGCATAATCGGACTAAAACCACACCTACTTCCTTCCATGTGATTCTTACGCGTTAGAGTTTATGAATTAAGCGCCAATGAAGTTATCGGAATAAAAATGTGTACAAATATATTTCCTTCAATCTACAAGTATTACGACGAAGAATTATCGAAGTCGCAGCATAACTTTTCAAGCGACATATACCAAATATGTGGACTTCCGTGCAAGCATACCCTGATTTTTACTGATAATATCGGTCAATCTGTGGATTAAGAGAGAGAAGTCTAACATGTTACTTTACACTCGAACTTAGCTCTAGTTACGCTTATTCTGACTATACTTGACTAAATGTACGTGATTGATTATATCACTTCGCTATAGACTTATTATATATATTATATATATTTTATATTATATATATATTAATGGTAAGTATATCTAATCTTATATTTTGTTGAAAGTTTTTAAAACAGTTGCTAACATAAAAGTTTTATCTGTTTTAATATATAATATATTTGTTGAACATCAGCAACATTTCTTGGTTAGAGATCTTCTATAGTTACAAATTCAACCGTTTCCTATGAGATGAAAATCAATGTTCTCAAGAAGCGTCTTTGTGTGATCTAAAAATTAGTGTAACAGATCAACTTTATGCATTCTTTTTGAAAATAGATTGGTTAATTACTTTCTTCATAATTTTTTTGTTGTTGTTATGTTAGCAAACGGTCGGCTAGTTTCCTCAAGCAGAAACCTTTTCTAAACATTAATATTACTTTCTGTAAATATTTTTCAAAATAAATGAAGCTTCGGAATCGCGTGTTTTTATTTTGTCCTCAATGTTATTGAATTTTTGTGAGCATTTTTTATACATAAACGACACACGTCGTCCATCTAATATGCACAAAGTATGTTTCAGTGTTTGAAGGTGATAAAAATAATTTCAAAGTGTGCAAGAAGTTATAGAGCTACCAAATTTTGCCAATGAAAGAAAATAACCAAGAAAATACACTGATCGACCTTCTTCTAAGGAAAAGTAAGCAATTTTTATTCGTCCTGACAAAAAGTTGATTTAAATCTGTCACCAAAATTGATTATTTAAATCTGTAAGAAAGCGTGACAATGGCAATGAAAACCAGGTGGCATCACATAACAAAGTAAAGCTTGTGGTGGAATCTGTTTGAAATAAGTCGTACCGCTTTGTGCTTCACTTTTAATAAATCTAAATTCATTTATTCTACTTGCGCGTGCAAAACTTTTATTCTTCCTCTTTCTCATTATTCTCCCTTGTTTTACACGCTTAACATGCAGTTTTTGCTTTAAATTTGTCTGCTTTATATATATTTTTCTTTATCATTCACTCTCCCGATTACTTCAATTACCCGTTGCGTATAAGCATTATATTTCAAGTGTCATCGCGTCACGTATGCGCTGAGTGACTGCCGGCATACTTTTCGGTGGCTTAGTTGAGTGCCACCTGCAAGCTACAACGACCATCTTGGCTAATCAGCTGTGCTGTTCTTGCGAGTTTGACACTGCCGAGATTTATGACAACACTTTGTCGCGGCTTTGCAGTCGTTTTACAATTTGTTTTGCTTGTTCATTTTTTGTTGCCTGCATAGGTATGTATGTACATAGGTATGTGAGTATTTGTGTGTGTTGAATATTTTTGGTTAAACTTTTGTTTGTTTGCTCACCTGCAGTTTTTAACTTTCTATCACCTCTGTTTTGATTTGATTTGTGTTATGTATGCCATATTTTATTCCTTTATCACTTTAAAGAGACGCTTCCAAACTGAGTCGTGCGTTAATCGAATGAAATTTGTTTCACAAACAAATACACATACAGTTAGACATTAACACATATACATAAATATATATGTGTGTGCATAAAATCTGTTATATAATACTTGAGTGCCAACTGAAATATTCATAAGCCTGTTGCCGTTAATTGATTGGATGCGCTAATCTGTGGCGGCGCACGGAGCGTATGAGTAATGTGTGTTCCGGATTTCCGCTGATCCTCTGTGTGCTTGCTTGATTTTGCTTACGAAGCTTCTATTATTCATTGAAAATACAACACCGATAAACATTTAAAAGAGAATAAGTTTAGGTAAGGTGTGTTTCGAAATGCAAGGAATTTTTGATTAAATTCGATAATATTTTTTGAAATAAATTGCATTGAAAATTACAAAAAAAAAAAAAATTGATAAATTTTTTTATTAAAACTTTTAAATATTGTAATGACAACATCCAGAAGGAAATAAAGTAGTTTCGAATTCACGGCTTTGAAATGGTATTGTGGTTTAAATGCAGGTAAAAAATCACCTCTGACGGAAGAGGTCAGCGGAGTTGTAGAATCTGATATTTGTTGGAATCAGAACTGAAACCGATAAAAAAAAGCAGTTGTTGGTGTCATGAATTCAGATATTCATAAGTTTAATCGGTTTTGTTAAGTTAAGAAATTTATTTGTTTTTTTTGTGACGAATTAACTTCTCTTTATTTTTATGGTTGAAAACATAAGATTAAAAAACAAAATGCTTTAATTGTTATAATAATTTAAGGGTTGTGACCGATTTTTGAGCAAATTTAAAGCAGTGCATAACAGTGAAGTAAATTTATCTTAAATCACTCTTCATATTTACGACTGCTTAAAGTGCTTAGACTAAATTGCTTTGACACTTTCTATAATCAGTGAAAACTCAATTTGGTCAAAGAATGAATTTCGTTAAATGGTACCCAGAAATAAAAAAAAAACAAGTAAGGAAGGAACATTTCACACTCTTGCAACTTGCAAGGACTAAAGCCGGGGAAATACCTTCAGGTGTTGGCAAAACTGCATATTAAAAAATATTGTGAAAGATTTAAAAATTTATTATTCGACGAAAATTATATTAAAAACATCTTCTGAACAAAACTTTATCGAACCGAAAAGGCTAAATTTAATAGATTGAGTTAATGTAGAAAACGTCAACCGGAATTATGGTATTAGGGATTTGAGATAAATACTAATGTCTAGACCAACTCCATTATTGTGCAGCGCATAACCATTAATATAATAAACTTGGTTAGAATTACGGAAATTATTATATTATATATAATATAATTTCACATATTTTCGACATTAAACTAAAGTATATCCAATACTATACGTTCAGTTTATTTTGCTAAGATATCTTAACTGTTGACCGATATATAGGGTATGAGGTCAACCGTAAGCTTGAAAATCGTTTCTTAAGTATATGGAAGATTAGTGTAGTATTGACCCGATTTTATCTATTTTTGGCACTACTACTTATTCTTAACAGCAAAACATGCTTTCTGTGTTTAATTAAGGTACCTCACATATTATCACCAATTTACATAAAGTAAAATTAACCGGATGTTTGAAAATTCTGTGATTAGTTATATGGGGGTTAAGGCAAGTTTTCACCAGATTATAGCAATTTCAGGCACAGAGGTGCACCGTTAGGAGAAAAACACGCTCACTCAACGTAATTATGATAACTCATCTATTGGCCGACATATGGAATATAAAGCCAATCGAAAGTTTGAAAATATTTCTATTAGGTATATGAGGGCTTAAGGAAATATTAAATCGATTAAATCCATTTTTGACATACGGACATACTATCATCTTCTATTATATATCCCACACATTGATCGAATATTTTCGGTAAAAGGTCAGTCATAAGCTCAGGGGTCCACATTTCTGACATCTGGGGGCTTGAATAGTTATGGTCCATTTTTGACAATTTTAAGACCTCAGATGGTATACCTTAAAGACACTATTTGTGCAAAGTTTTATCGCGATATATTAATTGTTGCTTGATTTGTATACTTGAAAATGAAAAATCAGATGGAATTTGCAGTTGTATTATATGGTAAATAGGCGTGGTCGCATTGCGATTTTGACCACTTTCGCAGTATAGAAATGTCAGAATAATGCTGCGTACCGAGTTTGGTTGAAATTGCTCTCGTAGGTCCTGATAAATGTGATTTTCCCTAAATGTGGGCGGTGCCACTCCCATGCTCAAAATATGACACCTAGTTTTGTACTCCTAAAGTAGTTAGTTATTGATTTATCTCACTTTTAGTATTTTTTAACAAACCGTTATATGGGGAGTGAGCGGGTTATCATCCGATTCCACCTGTTTTCATAGTGTCGAAATGATGCGTCCTGTAATTTCGGTGTTATAGCTGGAAAAGTTTGAGAAATATATAGTAAACCTATTAAGCGGCGGGGCAACGCTTTTTGTTAATTTTCAAACCACAAGTGCCCCACATAGTGCTCAATTACAGTTTTGTAACTTAGTTTGCTTAGTTATGATAATACATAGGTTCTTGATTAAATTCAACTTTTTTTCAAATGCTACTAATTTTTATGTTTTCAATTTTTGCACATTTATAAAGTCTCTAATCCACCGTCCACATTATAAATGCAATAAATAACTAAAATATAATTTTATTGTGCACAACAACAATGTCACTTGAACCTTGGATCAACAGTCGTTCCACATTTGCCTTTTGTCTGTAATGCTCAGCTTATTCATGCTGTACACAATTACCCCAGTTTATCTTAATTATGCATCAGTAAATTAAAGCGATACATATGTGCATACGATATGTGTGTCTGTGTGAGGGAATGAACGCAACTGTGCACCACATCACATTGTCCATTTATCGCTTGCGGCAAACACACGAATGTATGTGCGGCATTTAAAGCAGTACACACACAAACACCACAACAACCTCAACAACACAACTTCACAACTGATTCAACCCTCCGCTTCCTCCCACTACCATCCTCTCCCGACCACTCTTCCTGCATTCTCCCCCCGTCAACTCCTTGCTTATGCTGATTATCACAGACGGTTGGTCTCTGACTCGTTGACCTCGACTTCTGAGCTCTTGAGCAGCGTGTGCGCATCGCATTGTGTTATTGTTGTTGTGCTGTCACAGGTGTCTAAGTATGAATAATATTTTGATGTTCTGATTCTGTGCCCTCCAGTCCATTAACTACACACGCGGATACACTTGCATGCAAAATTGTGCTGTATTAATGCATTCATGCATGACCTGACCTACATCAAGATATCACTGCCGTGGGTGTTAACGGTTGTTGTATCTACTTATGGGTTAACCAATTGGCGTGTTTGTATGGTATGTGTGCGTGAAAACCTGACGGACGAATGTCAATGTCAGTGATGGCTTACACATGTCACATGCGCCTGCCGAACGGCTCGTAAGGTCCGCACTTTGCGTGTTTGGACACGTGCCGCAGGATCGTTTAGACCCATATCATATGCAGAAGCCATAAAAACATATACACACATACATGCGCATAAAGTTTATTGTCATGAATTAATTTTTGCCGCCCTTACTACTTGACTAAAGATAGCAGAGATTAAATGGCACCGCTTTGTTCGGTGCTGTTATTACAAGTATTACGGTAAGGTTGTCTGTGCACGCCAATTAATAAGTATACTATATGTATATGTGTTAGTGTATGGGTTTCGGTCTAAGGGTACTCTGTTCCGTGAATGTGAGGCATTTCAAATTCATTCGCTTTCAGCGCACAATTAAGCGCCTAATTACACGCTCGCCCATTATTAGCTGATAACACCTGTTGATATATATTAATTAATCTTGTTTGAGTTGGCAGGATTTCTTGGTGTTATTACTGTAACGTACTCGCTCATACAGCAAATCTCAGAGAATTGAATATATTATATTTACAGTTTTTA